AGTAGATAAAACACTGAAGATGAAAGAGAAAAAGGATGATCCAGAAAAAAATCTATTAGAGGAAATAATAGGGGATGGGATCAAGAACAAAAACAGGAAGGCTGGCCTTCGTGAGTAGAAGAACGGTCACTTCATCAGAGACTATAGTAAAAGAACTGAGAGAATGAAGAATGAGGTAGGGGGTTCTGAGTTGTAGAAAAACAGAAAAGAGGGAAGCTCACTGCAAAAGACCCCTATTTTCTCAGTAAAGTGCGAAGTATTCTGCTAATAAGGGAGGGATAGGAGATTTGAAGACAGAATTTTGGAAAAGATGCTTTGGAGAATAGGATAAAAAAAATCAATTACAGAATACTAAAAGAATTGCCTTGTTAAAATGAGGGCCCAGTTGATATTAGATATTATCAATTTGTAATGGGATTAGCACAATTAGGGGGCTTCCTCCAGCACCATATAAAGAGGAGTAATACAGGGTTGAGATTTGGCAAGACCAAGACAATGGGAAACAAGGAATCCAAGAGCTGAGGACAATGAAATGTTGCTAGATAAATATAGTGTCTATATACTAGATAACTATAGTGTCTCTGTAAAAAGGGAGGAATATTAAGCCAAATTAAGGGTGAGAGTCTGGGTAGAGGGACTGGAGATCACTGTGAGGATGATGAATAGGTTTAGCCAGAGGGAGGCATACAGGAAAAGATGATTCCATCTATACAAGAATGTATAGTTGGTCAGAGAAAATTTAAAAATTCTTAATCACCCAAGTGCAGCACTTGTGAATGATGGTAGGACCAAACATTTTATGTTACATCCTTTTGTGTGTCTAAGGTGGAGTAAAGAAATAAGTTACAGAATTGAAGAAACTGAAGAACTGGAAGACCATCACGTTGGAGGAAGTACCAACATTCCTGTTGAAGGTACCTAGCAATCATCCATTCCCACCATCTGAAATACCTTACACAGATTTCTTCTAAATCTATTCAGGCCTGATAAATATCTCTCAAACTCAACACACTCAAAAACTGCAGTCTTTTCTCTTTCTTTCCATTTCCTTATTTGCTGATGATCTCTCTCATCCTCCAAGTAACCTGAACTCGAAAGCTTCCACTCATCTTTAACTCTAACTTCTCCATCATCACCACTACAAATTCCAGACATCTATCAAATCCAGTCAATTATACCTCCACAATCCCATTCAAATTCACTGTTTACTTCTTACTCACATTGCCATCAACCTAATTCGAGCCCTTTTAGCAATGTCATCCTGTTTTCTTTACCTCCAATCTCACCAGCACACCAGTTTATCTTTCACATAATGCACATATTCTCAAACTCAAAAATATTCAGTGGTTTCCCAATTCCTATAGGATAAAAGGCAAACTATTTTAGCCTGGCATTTGAGGCCTGAAAAATCTCCAATCTACCTTTTCAGCTTTCCTGACACAATTCCCTTTCATACAAGCTACATACATTCCAACTCTACTACAAATTTTTTTTTCCTATCTTGCCTTGCCATCTTTCTACCTCCGTGTACTTTCAAGCTAGAATGCCTTAATTCCCTCATTCACATGGTACTTTTCAGTGCGCAAATCTACACTTACTGAATTCCTTTCTTCATAGTACTAGTTTCAGTACTACCTTCTCTATGAATAGTCTTTGATTCTTTCCCACAGTGGAAAATTCAAATTTAAATTATCCTCAAATTTTCTTACATTTTTGTCTGAAACTCTTCTACCTATATCACATTATACTCTGTATCATATGTATGTGTTTTTTATTAAACTGTAGGCCACTCAAAGGTGGGAACTGCTATTTTACACCTTTGAAGCTATGACATCTATGAGGATAGTTTTAGCACCTAGCACAGGCATCTTACTCATAAGTATTTAACAGATGCTCATTATTGTGGAAGGCATTTATTACATGACAATACATTTTTGGTCTTCAGAGTAGTAGTTCAATATCTTACGCAAAAAAAAAAAGAAGGAAAAGAAAAAAACTGCAAAACTTAAAAACACCTGAACTTCCCTTAAATATGACTTTTATACCTTGACCTCCACCAATACAAACAAATTAGTTTACAAAACCTCTATGGGGTCATAAGACAATTACAATTTAGATGCCAGGAATACTACTTTTTCCAGCACAGTGTTGTTCAACTTAAAACTTCTAAGCCCTGTGGCACTATTTTTCAGCTTCATAATTTAATTTTATGAAGTACTTACTAGGTGGTGATTTAAACTTTCCTCGGCATTACAAATAAAATCCTAAGTTAAATACAGATATAATATGAAAATAAAAGCAAAAGAAAAACCACAAATCTTTTAAAATGTACTTTTATCATAACTTTTACTAACAAAAAAATTAGTGATTGCAAATAAATAGCAGTATCTACAATTACTAAAGCACAAATATCTTGTAGAAAGCATCAATTTAACCTAAAGTTTAAGTAAATTGATATATTTTAAATCATTAGTTTATGCAATGAGGGTATTTTAATCACTATCACAACCATTTATGAAAGTACTCCTTGTTTTACCATTTCCAGTAAAAAATGCAATGTTTAAGTTAATTATAAGTATGGTAATAAATAAAACCAATTCTAATCTTAGAACTATGATGCTATGAACATGTATTCCATTTCTCACAATGCTGAAAGCAAAACTGTCACCCCTAGAAAGAGTAAAGATAGCTGTCTCTTAAAATATGGTATTCTCATAGCTATTTTAACCCTGCATGCCCCAAATTAAATTCTGATTAAGATAAATGGCATTTTGTACGTCTTCAAAAAATGTTATTGCCTCTTGCTACAGACTGTTCACGTACCTGTCATGATGAACACAGATTTTAAAACTGACAATCCTACATTTAAGATGACAAAACAACACAGCTGGATTCTTAAGGAGAAAGTAGATATCTTTACACAAGGTATACCAAAGTAGAGACAGAAAACTTTCCAGCTACACAGTAATAAAAGATACAAAAAAAATTTTTTTAATCACTGATAAAAATCTCAAAGTTTTAAAAGCAGGTCCTTTTTCTAACACAGCTCTAATTCTTATTTGGTACTACTATGTCATTTCATTTCCTTATCCTGATACAAAGGCAAATACCTAGAACCTTTCGAAAGCATATCAGCCACTACTACACAATAGGGGAAAACAATTTAAACCTCTGCACTTTCCATTTCAACATTTTCTCAATTTGTCACTACTAAATCTTGTTATATGTAGAGTTCCGTAATTTTGAAAAAGCTAACCGTTTTAATTGCTGTTGAAATGCCACATCTAGTCCTATATTCACAGGTAGATTAAGAACAAAAAAAAAAGCTTCTATACTCCATATATCCATAGGACAGAGATTTACTGAACCACAAGGAGTAGAAAGCAGCCTTCTTGCAAAGCTTACTCTTTCATTACTAAACTCTGTTAACATAGTACTGCTTCACATTAGCAGGTGTCTCCCACTACATTTTTCCTTCTTCCCCCTCATCCCCAAACATTTCTCCTACCTTACACTGATTGATTACTTACTGTCACAGGACATTTTAAAGATTACTTGCAATGTCTCACTGTATACATATTGTCCTATTCTACTTCCCCTCTCCACAAATACACAAGAACTTCCTAAACCAAAAAGTAACATGACTAACCCATAAATTTAAATCAGCCTTTTTCACAAAGCAAGAAAACCTTAAGAGATCCAATCAAGGGAAACGTTATCAACTAACTACAGGTCAACATATCCAAAGCGATCGCTAACCACAGCTACAAGGGTCAGAAATAGCAGGAACTTCCAGTGGCCCAATTAAGACTATGGACATCCTCTAATAGCCTCAGGCACCCCAGCCTCAGAGAATTTCGCGAAGCCCCATGGCTCCCTTAACTTTCAAAAGCAGGACTGATACTCTACTGCCTCCCAACAATCTCCCACCTCCAAAAATAGGTGGGGGCACGGATACGAAGCGTTCTTCAGAAATTTTTCATGGTTCTTTCTAGTAACATGGCCAAAAGTGACTATCCTTTTATTTCAGGGATTCTGCCTCCCCCCATATATACAAACATCCTAACTTCATCCCCAAATAACAGCTCGAAAGAGTACATACACACGCGCGCGCCAGCGCGCGCTCGCTCACACACACACACACACACACACACACACACACACACACACACACACACACACACACACACACACACACACACACACACACACACACCGCTCTACACCTTTTACTAGGCTCACGCTTCTCCAAGCCTCCCAGCACCGTGACACCACTCACCTCCTACCCCACCTCCTCAGGGTACCTCCTTCTCCTCCCGACGACCCTCACCTCCGAGACAGCGAACCCTGGCGCCCTTCCTCATCTCTCCTAACACCTCCCCACCACCACCCCGCTCTCACAGAGATCTCATTAGCGTGACCCCACAACCAAGCAACCCCCTCCCACCTGGTCAATGCCAACGTATGCCCAGCGGTCCCAGATCCACTCCCTCCAGTCGAGTGCCCAGCCCCTCGAGCACGCTTTATCACACGGCCCCGCCACCCCCCGACCCCAATAAACCCACACCCAGCCTCCTTCCTCGGCCACTTCACGGAGACAGAGACGCTGTCCCTTAACCCCTTTCCCCCTTCCACTCCCGTTACCCAAGTCTGGATATAAGCCAGGTCAGAACTCACCGTATCCCCCCGCGGGGCTACCTTGCACACATACACACACACTCACACACACACTCACACACACATACACAGCAGTGCCCGAAGCCTCCTCCTCCTTCAGCTGGGACTCACTGGGACATCAGCGGATGAATCCCAACACGGAGGCTATTTTTAGGAGACAGGGCCCCAGCCAGACCGGAACTTCTTCCTCTCGCTGCGCGCGTGCGCCGTGTGATTTTTATACCTCAGTGTCCCTACGCCTCCTTTTCCTCCCTTTTCCCTTCCCTCTCGCCCCCCAGTGGATAAGCCTCCTTTTCGCGGCTCTCTCACTCTTGCGTTCGAACCTAGTGGGGCTGGTGGTGAAGAAGACGACAATGAAGTTAGACAGAAGGCTAGCCAGTGGCTTTAGGATCAAGGAATATCCCACTGGGACGTGAAGCACGGACTATATTTTTCCGGGTGGGTGAAGGGACGGATCACCCCGCACAGGAAGGAGATGACGGCGGTTTGGCGCCGGGGGATGGTCTGGAGCTTGGCTTTCCTCTGAAGGACGGTGTTTCCCTGGAAGGGATATTGGTCACTTGATGCTGGTTCGGACGCCTCCAGGGGTGGGGCCCACGGGCAGCCTTCGCGGCCCTTTGGAGGCGCACCCTCCTCCTCTTCCTCCCCCTTCTCCCCTACCTCCGCCCTCAGCTTCTCCCACCCCTTTAGTCTCGGACCAAACCACCCGGAGCAAAACCGGCGACACCAGAGACAAAAAAAAAAAAATTCTCAAATCACTGCGCGCAAGCGGAGCCATCAGCCAATAAAGGCCGAGGGAGGGCGGGGCTCCCCGGGGAAGCTGGAGATGCTCCAGTCCGAGCGACCCCGGATCAGGACCGAAGCTGGTGGGGTGCCAGGCGGGATGGGGGGGGTCAGGAGGGGGGAAAACGGACCTGGAACGCATGCGTGGGGAAGCCGCGCACCGGGTCCTGCCTATGTCGCATGTGCCTCGCCGTGCCCTGCGGAGCACTTGCCGATGTCTCTCTCCTTTTTCCTTCCTCTTGCTCTTGTTCTTGAGGCTCCCTCTCCCTCCCCGTCGCCTTAGGCCAGTCCAGCCGCGCTTCTCGCCCTGCCTTTCCCTCCCCGCAGCCCCACCCCCGGCCCCGCCTCGCCCAGCCGCCACCCCAGCCCGCTGGCACACTTTTTTCTATCTCTTTCTGGATCTCTCAGCACTTCCCTGGCGCTCATTTATTGTTATTTGCACAACACCTGTAATCGCTGGACGTGCTTGACAGCGGGTCCGACGCGCTAAACAAACATAATGGAAATCCCTGCCCCACTAAGGCCACACCAGCGACATAAATCTGGGGCGGAAAAAAAAAAGTGAGCCGCCACCTCTGGAAAAGAGAATTCTGTGCTGGCTGTGTTCACTTCTTATGTGAAAAGAAAGCCCTCCAGCCCAGGATGGAAAACTGGGCAAAGATGTCCCTGCCTTGATGGAACAGCTTTCCATTAGGAAGAAAGCGGTGCGATGAAAGGTGGCTGACAACCACAAAAGCAGTCTTTTTATATCTTCCCCCTCAAAAAAAATTTTCTGAGGATATAGAACCTATTCTTTAACATATTTAATCTTGTTTTTCTTATCTTACTTCTTTGGCCCTGAAGGCCACTTTCTATCAAGGGCTATTTCTGTTTATGAGAGCACAGCTTCTGGATCTAGAGGAGCATGTGTGCTGATTGAATACACTAAGCTAAATGATTAATTTCATTTGTAGGTGTGAAACTAAATTCTAAAGCTCTCTAAAGGTTGGGGGGGGAGGAGAAGTAACTTCAGTCAGTCTACTGTGAGCTGAGCACCTGATATTGGAGAATTACAAAGTGAATGTTGTAGAAGATGATTCCTCCCTTAAATATACTGCTAATATGATGGGGGGGGGAGACAACTGGGAGACAAGTAAGACATACATATAAACATATGTAACGGAAAAATACAGAAGACATATACAGTGCTGAATAAAAGAAGTAAAACAAGTGCTTTAAAAAGTATACTTTAACAAAATTTAGAATAAGTCAGAAATTAATGTGAAAACACTTTTTTTTCCTCCTTCCCAAACATGCTAGAAACTGTAGAAACCTCTGGACATAGTTCTGTGACTCCACTATAATGGGGGAAACGACATTTTTAGCCAAAAAGTAGGGCTTGGTTGGAGAAAGGAGGGATGTTAACGGAGATGACTGCCTGACCCCCACCCTTTCACCTCACAAGAAGGAAAAAAGGAATAACAAATCCCTGAGAGAAATAAAACAGAGTGTTCCAAAGTGGTTTTCTTTTACTCAGAAGTAGTGGAGTGAAATAAAAGCCCTCCAAAAAACTTATACTGTTCCTTTTTGCTCCAACCCATTTCAAAACCTGCCAAAACCTGGCCAGCTGCTGAAAAGATTCTGCATTTGGACCGCTTGAGCCACGGAGGACAAGGAAGGAAGCACTGCGATGAATTTAAGCAGAAGTTTAAGAGGAGCTTTGCATTGTCCTGGGTGAACCTCTGTTTCTTACTACAATTGTACACTCTACTGTAGGTACCCAGGTTCATGTGGAAAGAACACTGAATTTCGAATGGGAGTACCTAAGTTTGAGTCCTGGCTGTGTCACTTACCTTGTGACCTTGGGGAATTCATTTAGAGCCAAAGGAGGACTGCAGAGATGATCTAGTCCAAGTCCCTTATTTTATGATGAGAAAGGGATGCCCAAAGAAGTTAAGAAATTTGCACAACTGTTACACAGGCATTTGAATCCAAGTCTTCTGACCTAAAATCCACCGTTCTTTTCACTGTTCCACACTGCCTTCTTGGCCTCAATTTTCTCCTCTTTGTATATTTAATGAAGGTATTGGACTTGATTTTTTCCAAGATCCCTTCTGGCTTTGGTATTCTGTGATTCTATAGTTATGGAAGTTAGAAGCAGAAACAAAAATGAGCTTAAAAATTTTGGATCACAGAAAATTATAAAATACCTAATGTGAAATACCTATGACATAATCAAGTCATTCCTCTGCAATGAGATTTCATTTCTTCACTTCATAATATAGGAATCTGAATATCTGCACCATCTCCCTAGTGCTTTGTTGTTCAGTTATTCAGTCATTTAGTCCTATCCCAGTCCTTCTGACCTCATGGACTATATAGCATGGCAGACCCTTCTATACTCCACTATCTCTCAACATCTGTCCAGGTTCATGTCTGTTGTTTCCAGGACACTACCTATCCATCTTGTCCTAGTGCTTTGTAAGTGCCAGAAGGTAAGTCTCACCTATCAGAACCACATTCCCAGAGGTAGTTCCTGTTTGAGGAAGAAGAATATGGATAAAGTTTGGGCAACCATAGTATGGAAATATCTAGGAAGTAGCACCAAATACAGCTGCTATGAATTAAGTACAGTGTCTTGTATTTAAACCAAAATAGTCCCACTCCTAAAATAGGTAATTCTGATAAAGTAATTGACCAGTTGTAAATATTTTAGAAAATCAAAAATGCACATTTCCAGTACATATATGGTTAAAATGTAATGTGGTAGGAAGGATTGTCCTCAGAACTAAAATTTGAACTACATCAGCATGTATGTGTATGCACTTGTGCCTATCACAAGTATTAGGATTTGGGATTTTAGTATTTTAGAATTTATTAAACCACTGAACTATGCAATGCCAATGAGAAGCTTTCAATGATTAAGGTGATTAGTATATAATATTGTTACTATTTGATAAAAGGTTTCATCATTGTGAGTGTTCCCTCCACCAATGCAGATCACAATTCCATTTTGATGCTTGATAAATCTGTTATTTCAGTGTGGGTGCTCCCTCACCCAGTGCAAATTCAAATTCCTCCCTACCTTGTCATGCTGTGTAAATCTTTTTCTTTCTAAGCACTTTTTTAAAAAGAGTTTAACTTACAAACACAAACATTTCAATATGCAAAGAAGAACAAAAAAGAAGGTTGTATGAAAAATTGTGAACTTCTACAGTTTTCATCTATGTCCTCCATTAAATTCTCTAAAAAGGCCCCATCACAAAGGATATGAACAGGCAGTTTTCAGATGAAGAAATTAAAGCTATCTATAGTCATATGAAAAAAATGCTCTCAATCACTATTGATCAGAGAAATGCAAATTAAGGCAACTCTGAGGTACCACATCACACTTATCAGTTTGGCTACCATGACAATACAGGAAAGTGATAAATGTTGGAGAAGATGTGGGAAAATTGGAACAGTAATGCATTGTTAGTGGAGTTGTGAACTGATCCAACCATTCTGGAGAGCAATTTGGAACTATGCCCAAAGGGCTATAAAAATGTGCATATGTCTTGATGTAGCAATACCTCTATTAGCTCTATATCTCAAAAAGATCATAAAAAAAATGGAAGAAGGCTCACATGTACAAAAATATTTATAGCAGCTCTTTTTGTGGTGGCCAAAAAATTGGAAATTGAGGGGATGCCTATCAATTGGAGAATGGCTGAACAAGTTGTGGCATATGAATGTAATGGAGTACTATTGTTCCATAAGAAATGGTGAACAAACTTCAGAAAAACCTGGAAAAACTTGCATGAGCTGATGCTGAGTGAATTCAGCAAAACCAGGAGCACATTGTACACAATAACAGCAACATTTTTCAATGACTGACTTTATTTAGACTTAGCCCTTCTGAGCAATGCAATGATCCAAGACAATTCCAAAAGATTCATGATGGAAAATGCTATCCACATCCAGAAAAAGAACTGTGGAATCTGAATCAGATCAAAGCACACTATTTTTTCTTTCTTTTGATTTCTTTTGGTTTTTTTTCTTTCTCATGGTTTTTCCTTTTTGTTCTGATTCTTCTTTCACAACATGACTAATGTGGAAGTATGTTTAACATGATAATACATGTATAGCCTATATCAGATTGCATGCCATCTTGGGGAAGGGTGAATGGAGGGAGAGGGGGAAAATTTAGAACTCAAACTCTTATAAAAGCGAATATTGAAAACTAAAAACAAATCAATTAATTTTTTTAAAAAGCAAATAAAAAAGAGAACCCATACTTGATATGTTTCTCTGATTCTTTTAATATTTCAAAGGTACTAATATACTATTTAATCTGTTCATCTATATTCTCTCTCTCAATACATAATCAAGCTACCTCCCCTTGGGGCCTGGGATAATATTTTTATATGACTTCTCAAACAAAAGTGATGCTATATCTGGCTTTTACTCACTATGAATCTTTCTAAGGCCATTTGAATCAACTACAATTTTGATTCTTCAGAGATGGTGATGTTTCCTGATTTGTGGCCCTATTGATTTACTAAGAAAATAATTTTAGTACATAAATGGGTCACTTATCTACCTTATCAACTTGAATATGCCCTCCAACAATGAAGATCAAAACCCATCCATTCCTGCCCATCCTCATGGATTACCCCATTACTCCTTTAAGTTTGACATAGGGAATAGACTCAACAGTTAAGGTTCCTTTTTCTATTCCTCTTTAAATCACAAGGACACTAATGTAACATTTGGGTATCTACAATATCTGGCCTGAGACACTTCTTGGCTGTATCACCCTCGGCAAGTCATTTAATCTCTGCCTCAGTTTCCTTAGCTATAAATGGTAATAGTAGCAGCATCTATGTCATATGGTTGTTAGGACCAAAGTAGGCAATGTTTATAAAGCATTTAGCACAGTGCTTAGTACATTAGTAGAAACTATATGAGTGCTTATTCCCTTCCCATCCTTTCCTCC